TCTATTAGTATTACAGACAAAAGAATAAGTTCAACAGTTTGGAGTGGTAGAAAGGATGGTGTAGTTATACATGATGTTCATGGCAAAGCTTTCATGTGAATCTACTACAATGAGCACAAATGGCACAATGAGCTGGGGGATCTAACAATTTCTGTTCATGGAATTTCAAGCAAACAACAAATTCAATGCAAGCACATTTTATCTTACAGGAAAAAATAGATGCACAGATTAAAACACTCCTGCCTCCCTCACAGTACGAGTAGTCAATGTATTTCAAAACAATAGCTATAGAAGCCAGCAACTTGTCTTTTCTCTTCTCTCATGCCTTACCAATTGTACAAGGATAAGAGAGTAAAGGAAGCAAGAATTCTTTTGCAGAAGCTATAGTTTTCTCTTCTCTGAAAAGAGGAAACAATGGCCTGGTTCTGATAATCTTACACTGAACAGCCTGGCACACAACCATGAATTTTTCTAAATAAGTATGCAATACTCTTAAAGATATTACCCAAGATATGATTTATTTGTTCAGCTGAACTGAAAGCGTCTTGCACAGAGAAGAATGGACGAGAACAATGTAATCCTCAAAAGGAAAAAAGGAGGGATATAAATGCAATGTAATAATACATGGGAAAACCCTCTCCCTTAGGAAAGTATGATGAATGAGAGGCAGAACCTTGGAGCAAACTTTGCTAGTTCTGGGAAGACTGTGTGGAGAAAGAAGCATCCTTCCTGAGTATCATCCGGATGGCTACCAAAATGGATGGTTAGCAGATGCAAGTTACATAGTGGAGCAATGGGCTGAGGAGTGGTTTTAAAAAGGAACTATTTATAAAGCTTTGAAAAAGTGGGATGTCACATTCAAGTTTTTTTACTATGCTGTGCAAAGCCCTCGGTCAGGAGAGCCCAAAAGCGTTGGGCTAATATCAGTGCTTCTCAAGAAGTTGCTTACTACAACACATACTTAATACACTATTTACTTCTATGTTCATTATTTTAAATCAGCTTAGGATCTTCACATAACTCATTAAGCTAAAGAATTCCCAAGTTCATTGCACACAGAACTATGGTACTAAGGACTGGTTCAAAGGTGAATCATTTATACAGTTTGAAGCAAGTTCATAGCAGGATTCTCACCATTCTCTTATTAATCCCTGATGTTACAGCTTGACCTGCAGTGTCATCAAAACATTCATGCATTTTAAGAAAACCCCTCCAGCATTCAAAAGATAACTGGAATTGGTCCAGGCTAAGAGGGGCTGGTTTCCTGCTGCTGCTCCCATCATAACCACTTCACGTTACAACATTACTGACATGAATGTCAGCCCACTAACACAAAGTAAAATTATTCTAGCATCTACTAATACCATGCTAAAAAAGGAAATCATGGATAAACAGCTTTGTGAAACAAGAAACTGACACACCATAGGGGAACCTAAGGATTTGAAAGAAAGCCAAGGGAATTAGTAAGAAAAATAAGCTGTTTAAAATGGAGAAATCGGCAAAAATAAAATCCTAGTATTGCTGCAAAGATAGGATTCACTATCTAAGTCTGCTTTGCCAGCATTTAGTTATATTTACCGAAAGCTCATCGCAATGAAACACCCAGCCTTTTACTCCTCCTCCATCTACAGTTCCATAAACTCAGATGTGGGACCAAAGGCAGCTTTCTATGTTCCGAGGGTATAATGAGGCCTGGGGAAAGCATATATACTAGCTCCGCAAAACCTTGTCAGGGTGTAAAAATGGCACAAATGCACAAGTTTCAAAGAGCATTCCTTTTAATATTTCATAACAACCAGGAATACACAGGGTCTTACTGCAGTCCCCAATGGCCTGAAAGATGAAACACCCCATCCCATTCTCCTTAACACAAAGACTTCCCTACTTTATTAACATTTATGTTCCTAAACTTTATACCCCACAGACCTACTGCCCCCGCCACATGCAGTATAGAACAGATCAAAAGCAAGTGAGAAAATTCTCTTCATACTGCTTCACCAAAGCTTGAGGGTAATAAAACTGTTTTAACTGGCCATCTAACACCACAATTCTATGAATGTTTACTGAAAAGTAAGTCGTACTGTGTTCAGTGTGGCTTTCTTCTGGCAAAGAACACAAGATGGAGAAAGAGAGATATCTCCTTTTCCACTTTCTCAACACCATGCATAATTTTAAACACCTCTGCAATGTCACCCCTTTTTTCTAAGCTAACCAATCCCAGTTCTTCTAACCATTTATCACAGGAAAGTTGCTCCAACTTCTTCATTTCTGCTGCCCTTCTCTGCACTTTTTCCAACTTAATAATGTCATTTTTCAGGTGTAGCAAGCGGAAATGGACACAATATTCTTGAGGACAAAAGTCCCTCATTGCTTCTGGCCTGACCTCTATCCGAGAAACAGACCATGCCAGCAAAAGTCATATAAAAACCCTCTTTATTGTAGGTGCGCACCAGCAATAAACAGTGAGCCCATCCAGTGGGGATCAGTTCCTTTCATTCATCTAATGTACCCTACATATTTATTTAATTTGGCAGTGACAGGAAATGTCATTACAAGATGCATTCATAATAAAGACAGGATGCAAACATTAGCAGTAAAGAAAACTTAATAAGGAAACATTTAGCTACTTTTGTAGAGGGTTATCTTGACTTACTCTTCTCGCTTGGTGCCAAAACATACACTTATCTTTACCAAACTTTCCTGACCTTCTTGATATTTTATATTCTTCTTTTATATTTATAAAGGTATATTTTTATTCTTATGTCTGACCTTTGCATATTTTCTTAAATATTTTAAGTATGGTTGGACCAAAGATATGTATAAGAAAAGTACAATCTTGGCAGGTTTATTTTCAATTCCTTTCCTAAATATGCCTAAAATGGAGTTTGCCTTTTTCAGAGCAACTGCACTCTAGCTCAGCATTTTCACTGAGCTTGACATTACTTTCATTCACTGTTATTTTATACAGTTATGTGTATTTTATATTGTTATTTATGTATTTTAATTAATTTATTTGTAAGCCGCCCCGAGGCTTCAGTGAATGGGGCAGCCTAGAAATTTTCTAAATAAATAAATAAATAAAAAGTCGCTTTAAGCACGAGGAGAGTATGAAAACACGATGACAGTCACAACAAAATACACAAATGCCTATTGCAGAAATACTGATCATGATTCTGAGAGTTTCTTCAGGCAATTCAAAGTTATGAGCCACTATGAGATGTCACGTATCCATTTGACCAGAGATTAAGAGAGGCTACTTCACCAATGATGAGCATGCCGATAGTGGTTAACCCTTCAGCAAAAGCGCTATACGCGCAATCATGGTAAGGGATGGCACAACACCCAACGTGGAGCGGCTTCGCCTCTTATCTCTCGAATCAGGAAGCAGGCACAGGCCACAGAGAGGATGCAAGCACCTGCTGCTCGCCCCACTTGTGTCGCCCACACTGCAGGTTGGCCAAGGCACCTATCGTGAACAGCAACCGTTCCACATTATTTCCAAGTTGCCGGAAAGCAAGAGATGCACTTTGTCAAAGCTTGTGCTTTGGCACAAAGCAAGAGATGCACTAGATCTGGGAAGGCAGAACTCTTCGGATACAGAAGAAAAAGAAGTAAATGGGGCTTTTGATATTTAAAGCTTTACATTCATTGCCTTACAGAGTAATGGGTACTGGGCATGGTGGCTGTGTATTACCTCCGATATCACTGGCGATCTGCAAAATAATCGCCATTTTACATAAAGACACATGGACGAGTTATGAAGTTTCAGCATTCCTCCAAAGCAGGGAGGAAGATGTATTAATATATTCATTCTTGCCTTAAACCCATCCAATCCATTGCTCCTGCATTCATCTGATGCCATGGCACTATGCAACATGAAGGCAGGGTTGCAAACTCGGACATAGTTACTGTTGGGCACAGCATTCTTGAACACTAGGACCCAGTTCACATGTACTAACATTCCATGGGTTGCGTAAACCATGAGTTGTCAAAGCAGCAGCAAATGAGGCTGCTACCTCCTGTACCATCACTTTCAATTAACGACTCATGAATGCTGCTTCAAATTGTTGGGTTAATTTTGGGCTGTTTAACCCCTTAAGCAACTCCAAGTCCTGACATCATGTCAACAAACCGGAAACTAGCATGTTACTGGAAAGCAAAAGCAAAAAGTGCTAGATATTACCACTCGATATTGACAATTCCTGGATTAAATTGCACTGGAATTGCCTTTATGTGGGAACACGGTCACTTAATAGGGAGCAAAATGCACTGAATACAGTGGGCCTTACTTCTAAATAGTCATACACTGTGCTATCAAGTTCATCATCATCTTTACTCTGATATTTCTCCTCTGTTTATTTTAAGAGCCTAAGCTCCTTTGAAGTAGGGACTTGTCCTTATATTCTTCAACAAGAGCATGGACAGAGATTGTTCATTATAACAATTAACACAGGACAATGTAAAAAGCCCATGCAGTACTTATTTAAAACATCTTATGAAGCTACTCTTCAGCTTTATAGATATTGTGGCTGCATACAGAAGACAGTCAAAATAATTATGCTAAAATAAAATACACAATTTCTAAAAGGCAAGTAAATACGTTCAAAAACAATAGTGTGCAGGGAGATCCAGGATCTAAAAGCCATTCCTTTACAAAGCTCACCCAGTGTCCTTGGGCCAGTCTCTCCCCTCTCTCTCTATCTCTTTCTCATACACACACTCATCCCCATTCAGCCTAACCTACCTAACAGGGTTGTTGTGAGGAAAACCAGTGGGGTGGGAGAATAGCCATATATACTGCCCTTGCTTCACCACAGGAAAGCAGGAGCAAAATGAAACCACCTGCAAGTTGGAAATGCACAAAAGTTTCAAAAGTCTCTATAGGAACCAGCATGGCAAGAGCTTTGGTCTGGGACTCGGGACCACCAGGTTCTGGTTCCCCTCGGCCGCTGCGCATGTTGGGGGGCTCTGGCCAGCGACTGCCTCTCGGCCTGACCTACCTCACAGTGTTGTTGCGAGAAGGAAAGTGGCAGGAGGCCGAAAGCCGCCTTGGCTTCCTCGCAGAGGGTCGACGTTGCGGAGGTCACACTGAGAGAGAAAAAGGAGATCAACGTAAGCCACTCGGAGTTCTCCCCAAGAAAAAGGCGGGACATGAATCGAAAAAATCACTCGGGGAAACTAAGCATGGCGGGAGGGGCGGCACATGAGGCCCGGCAGGCCCGGCGCTCTCCCGCCCGCCTCCCCCCGTCGCCGTCGCCGAATTTTGCGGCGGGGCAGGGAAGGCAGGTGGACGGAGGGGCGGTCGGAAGGGCGAAGAGGCACGGCTGGAGGGGGGCGTGGGGGGTCCGGCAGGCTTTCCTCAGCCCGGGGGGCCCTGGTCGCCCCCTCCCCAGTCAGAACCGCCAAAGGGGGAGGAAGCACTCCGGCCTCCGCCGCCCCCCCACCGCGCACTCTCTCTCTCTCTGCAGCCCACCTCCTTACAGGCCTCATTCCCCCCACACGCCTTGGAAAGGACGCCGTCCGGCCTCCCCCCCACTGACCTGCCGGAGACCGACGGGGGGCGGGGGGCTTCCCCGGAGACTTCTGCCCCTTCACCCCCACTCGGCCACCTTCATCCTCCTCGCTCTGCCCCGCTCGCCCCTCCTCACGCACGGGCGCACCGCCGCCCCCCAGGCCCTCTCGTATCCTTCCGCCTCCCCCCTCCTCAGGCTTCTCCCCTCACAAACACAGGATCCCCTCCTTCGGAAACCCCGCCCTGATCCCCTCGTACCAAAGAGGCAGGTGTCGATTGGGGGCTCCCTTAAAAATAAATTAAAAAACATATCCGTTGCGGGGCTATTTTCCACCGCGGAAGGCTTCTTCGCTGGAGGGCGCTACGAAAGGACATCGCAGTACGCGCTGCGCTCGCGGTGCATATTGGGAGCCGTAGTCTCGCAGCGGCGCTGGGGCGGGCTTGGGCTGGACGGCGAGGGCGAGCGCGGCGCATGCGCGCGGGGCGCCTCCGGCCTCGGGGCGGCGTGCGCGCGGGGGCGGGGGGCGCCAGGGGGCGGGGCCGCGCTCGCGCTCCGGCGGGCGGGCGGGAGGCAGGCCGGTACTTTTGCATAGTTCGCGAGAGAGTTGCGGCGCGCGAGGGGCGGCCGGGCGAGCCGAGCCGGGGCGAGCCGAGCCGAGGGGCGGACGCGGCTCGGCGGCCCGACGCAAGCCGGACGCCTCCCGCCGCGCCGTCGGGGCAGGTAAACATCGCGCGCTCGGGAGAGTTCGCCGCCGGCTCCGGCGGGACAAAGGCAGGCCCGGAGGAGCGCGGTCCGGGAGCCTCGGGGGTCTCTCCCCACGCCCGGCCGGGACGGCGTGGCATCGGGATCGCCGCCGCTGGGGGGGGGGGCGATCTCGGCGCGAGCCTGGCGGCGGGGCGGCGCGGGGCGGGGGGGGGGCGGGGGGGGGGGGGGGGGGGGGGGGCGGGAATGCCCCGCCAGGCGGTGATTGACAGCTGCTCGCCCCCCCCGGCATGCACGCACATCCCGCCCCCCCC